AATACATTATATGTGAGACTTATTTGTAATTATAATTATAACAATCATTGCATTACTTATCAAATATATGTTCGGCAACACTAGTGTCGACAGCACTCAACGGGTCGTCCATTAATACGATGTCTGAATTCCTGTACAGAGCTCTACATAAATAAATACAAATAATAGCAATTATTATTAAAACTCAATTAAGCAAATATTTTAACTAATTAATTTATAGATATTTAAATTTAACATTATATTTTTAAAATAAAATTTGATCTAATAAATCAATCAATTCGTTTAGTAAAAATGGATAAATAAAAAATAAATGCAGACTGTAATGTTTTATCCTTAGAATTTTAAATATAAATTTAATTAAAATAAATGTTAATTTGAAATACTTTACAAATATTGTCAGTGATTTTGATATAATTTTATAATAAATACCTGAATTAAATTTAAATACAAATCATGGTAATTATTTTATAATTAATAGTAATTATTATTGTAATTTAAATTAAAATCTAATCTGGTTACTCATAATTTATTTCTAAAAACAATAAAGATCCTTAATGCTAAAATTCTAATCAATACAAACTGTAGTGCAATAATAATTTATTTTATGCAAAAAATTCTAATATGTAACATGTTAAGTTGGATATTCATGGATTGTTTGAATTAATTTTGTGGTCTGGTCAAATTATTAAAATTAATCTTTAAATAAAACATACAATTGTAGTTAAATACTACAAAGTTGTAGTTTTTTAAATACAAGTTAAAATTAGTTATTATGTATTCAAACTGTAATATAAACAATAAAGTGCCACAAAATTAATATAAAGTATTTGAAAATATTGGATAAATGGGTTAAGGTCAGTTTTCACTTAAATAAATATAATGGTTAATCCAATTAAATACCGTTATATTTTGTTTATTATACAAGTATTTCAATTACTATAACAACATATTGTATTTATAACTTATACAAAACTGTAATTCTATACTATAATAGTGACAAACAATGATTTTTTTAGAACCCATATGTACGTTTCACATACACTGTACACATATATACTTTACACACATATTCGAGGGACAGTCTGCCCCTATGTATACATTTGTACACATCTGTATACATGTGTACAGTGTATGTGAAACCTACATATGGGTTGTAAAATAAAGTATGGTGACAAATACTGATCGTGAGTGATAAAAATTTTTAAATGGATCAACCACTAAATCGGTATTAATTATCACATTAACAAAATATTTTAAAATTGCTGTAAATATGTATAAATGCAATACACAAACCTGGCTAACGTGATGCGGGCCTTTTGTCCCCCCGATAGCGATACCCCTCTCTCACCGACTAATGTCTTGTCTCCGAACGGAAATATCTGGAAATCCCTCTTCAAAGCGCACACCTCTACCACTCGCTTATATCGGGATTCATTATATTCGGTACCAAAGAGTATATTATTTCTGACACTATTATTAAAATTCCAGGGCTCCTGAGAGGCATAGCTTATTGATCCCACCGTTTGAATGCTCCCTTCAAACACCGACAGCTCTTGTAATATTGTCATTAATAGTGAGCTCTAGATAGAAATATTAATGATTACAATAATTATAATAAAATTTGCTATAATTTTTAAGATATAAATACTTTGCCGGCGCCGACCGGTCCGATCACTGCTAACAGATCTCCCTGTTTTAACCTAAACGATATATTTTGAAGTGTTGGATTCGGACTCTCCTGTGATAATAATATTATATTTATGCAAGGCTATGTAAAAATGTATGTAATTTTTTCATACTTCAGTCCATTTGGCACTTATATTATTGACAGTCACTTTGGGTGCGGTATACCTTGGTTTGGGCATTGCTTTCAAGTCACCAAAATCTCTATTGCCGTGGGTTTTAGTCACCATTTCCTCCAACTCTAGAAATGTCTTTAAAAAAGTGTAAAATATTTTTATTGCAAATTATTTCAAA